TCCCTTGCTGCCTGTTTTGCATGATTTTACATACCAATTCTCTGCACCTAAATGTATTTATGAGAAGGGAGAGGAGAAATCTGATCCCAAATGTCATCCCCATTTCTCAGAAACTCCCTAACTACCAAGTAACTTACAGGTTTCACTGAGAAGGTTTGATCCACCCTGAGCTTCTTAATGCAGCCTCCAAGGAATCAAAGGTGAAGCCCTTTAAGGACCCATCGATGCAGTCTTCTTTAAGATTACACATCTCCCTGTTTAATATGCTGAGTTATACTCACCTAAGAACCAGCATGGAGCTGTTGACACAGTACTAGGGAGTGATTTATCCTGCAGGCTAATCTCTAATGAAATTACGAATTTTAAAACCTATAAATACTGTGCGACTATAGACTGGCAAGCTATTAACATTACTATTGGAATTCAGCATTTTAAAAGATATATTATCACTTTGTTAGTTTTACAGGGACAAAACCAGAAATGTTTTCTGGGAAAGCAGAAAGAAGAAACCTTTTAGTAGAACCCACTGAACATGATACTAAGAATATGATTTTTATGATATATCAAGTATTTGCACCAGAAATGGAACAAGGAGGAAGCATAATGTGAAGGAGGTCATGTCTCCATGCTCCTAATAGCAATGAAAGGGTCTTATTTATCTTGAGCTTCCTGTAAGAAATTTGTTCCCTTCGTGAAGATCAGTTTTCAGGCAAACCTTGTGATTTACACCTCTGGTTTGAACTCACCAGCTGACTGCTTACCCAGTACTGAATACAGCTAAATCTCCCAGGTAACACTAGGCAATTTTTTAGGGAAGAAACTTCATGCTCTTGCCCTGTTGAATAAAGGACTACATTAACAGAACATGGGCTCAGAGACAAATTTAGGCAGGATTATCAGAAACAGACAACAGCCAGGTTGTGGGGCTCACTGTAAGGCACAGCTAACAACAGCAAGGCACTCAGCCATCACCCCAAGCCTGAAGCTGAAGCCTGGGGCACTGGAAAAGCAAAGAAGACATCAATCTTGTTCTACCTTCTTTAGAAAACAGGAATGAGCAAGTTATAGATTAAAAATTGAGGCAGTGCTTTCTTCCTCTGATCATGGACAATTTTTGAGGACAATGGGAGAGGAGCTTGGACCTTCGGTATGTTTATCACAGCATATTTGTTCAGTTCTTACAATATCCTTCCTGATGAACTAGACCAAAATAAAAATTATATAGGCACTACTCCTATAAATAAATTATTATTGTAATTTAATATTCTTTAAAATATTTTCTTTTAAGTTATTAATACTATTAACCAGCCTTTTGGTCTGGTTATATTAGGGCTGTCTTGGTTGCACTGTAACTTGCCCAGTATGACATTACTACCACACTAAATAAAGTTAGACGCAAATTTAGAATGTACAAAATACACAACATGATAACCTACAATATTATGAAATCTTTTCCTAAGCAGGAATTTAAAAATGTCTCTGGCAGTATAATATTTATATTGCCACATTTTGTCATGCAGACATAGTAACACATAAGCACTCACTTCAAACAGAAGCATAATCCTTGCAGAAGATCCTACCCTCTATGTTTGTTAATTCTGTTCCTTCAAGCTATTTCTTGACAATCCATGGCTTAAGCCTCTGTGATTTTCAACAAGTGAAGATGTGCAATAGTCCTCCCTGTGCTCTGTTACATAGACCTTGGTTCTGTTAAGAAACTGAGTTTATAGTAAGGACCTGTGTTTGCTGGATGTAACAGTCATGCCTGTGACACTGCTGATCACCAGTCAGAGCATGTTGCCTGTTCCCCTGCAGTTACCCAGGCAGTTGAACACTCACATGCAGATTCTGTGGTGCAGTCATGGCTTGTGGTACTCTTTGAAGAACATTCCCTCATTAAGTTGAACCTTGAAGCCCCAACAGCAAAATTTACAATGTTTGGAACAGTTAAAAATGTTGCCCTTCCATTAGAGAAAATAGGGGTAAGCAGGGTGGAATAGCCAGGGCACTAGGAAAGGCTCAGTCTATTAGAAAATCTAGCTTTCCAAAATTAAGAAAACATCTACAAGTTTTATGGAGTAATAGTTAATGTCCTACAAATCAAAATGAAAGTGTGAGAAGACAGGGCTTCTTTTTCAGACTCAGAGAAGGATTTGCAAGGCAAGAAGTACATTTCTCTCTTGCTTCTGCCTGCAAGTTTTCCTTCAATTACGTTCTCAGACTGTCATGGTTAGATTACAACTAGCATTGGCTTATGAACAGACTGAATCTCAGAATCATCTGTGGTCTATTGCTACAACACCTACAACTTCTAGAACTGGAAAAGACTGAAGAAATTGCAGGCTCTGTTTCCAGTTTAATGATTTTTTCTGTATGATGCCTGGTGCAATTTTTGGAAAAGCATTATCAAAGTATTTTTGTCATCGTAGCATTTGAAAAAAAATACATCACAGTGTAGATGAAAATTACTTTTGAAATGTAAGGCAAAGTTTGTGGATAAGTATATTATGGCATAATTCTTAATACTACTTTCACCACATGTGATCTCTTCTTTCCTAATGAGTTCATTTATGCAGAGGGATAACACGTTTCTTGGAATTTGTATCTGAAACAATTGTATTGTAATTCATTTACCGATTAATTTCTTGATAAGAATTGATAAAAGGTTTTACAATGTTCATTCAGAATGACCAAGTCTGAAAGGGAAACTTGCATTTGGTACTAACAGTAAAGCATTTACAGTACTCACATGATGAATTACCTGGTCACCAAGTGGAGCACTGGAGTTGAATTCAGAATTACTTTAGCATGTTTGACAATATCTAAGAATACCAAGATAAACAGTTAAAACAACAGATGCCCGATGGGCTTCTTTATGGTCAGGGAAAAAACAAGTGACTCAACTATGCTATCTTCTCCTAAAAGTTTGTGACCAATTCATGAAAAATAACCACTTGATCAAAATTTGCCAGAGTGACAAGTTTCCCAAATTGCCCAAAGCCAGCTTCACTCAATTGTTTCTTTAAATGGCTATGAAATTCTGCCCTTCCCCTGCCCTTGCCCTGAGTTGTATGGTTACCAGCACAAGAGAGAATTCCACATGTACAAATCTCAGCACCTCAGAGCTGGGGAAGTTAAACACTTAAATTCTGCAAGTATTCCTTCCTCACAATGGGAAGGATAAGTGAAATCTTGGCTTCCTGTTCCCCAGGTTATAGGTATCAAGTTCCAACTGACCACTGGGAAAATTTCAGAGATCAATTATTCCTCCTGTAGCGTTAAGTGCGGGTGTTAGCCAAGAGAAATTTCTCCTGCATGTGCTGACATCACTTTAGCCTCTAGGACTTCTTACAGCGTCACCTTCTCAAACAGCACTTTGATCCTCCTCCAGTGAAAGTGAGTCAGTGGCACAGAGTTTGTTGCAGCAGGTCTGCTGCCAAGTATGATCCATCAAGAGACACTAAACAGGGTGAGTCATATCAGCTATCTTGGTATTGTCACAACCTTTACTAGCTTTACAGCAACCACGAAACACTGATCTTTAGAATGAAAAGACAATAGTTGATGAAGTCAAGTCAGGGTTAAAAGCTAGTTATTACTGACAAAAGGCCCATAATATCAGCTTTTTCCTTCTTTGACAGCAGCTCTCTCCAACAGCACAAGGAAAGGACCTGTGTCTGAATGAATGTACATGATTTTTTTTTCCCTTGCATGAGCTGAGAAGAACTAAAGCAAAGATGCCTCTCTTGAGCAAGGGTTGGATCAAATGACCTCTAGAAATCGCTGCCAACATAACATTTTTCTACAACTCTGTGACAGCAATTCTTTCTGTCCTGCATGTCTCCCCTGCTAACTCATTGAACTATATAAAGTAACTGCATAGGCTCTGGGGCATTGGCCTATACAACAGCTAGCTCAGAGACAAACACTAACCTGTTAGGTGCTGTTTCAAGGGATTTTCACTCACCTTCTGTGTTATCCACCACCCTTCATTTTCTGGTGACTGACACAGAAGGAGCCAACCTGGGAGAGAAGCTATGCACAAAGTTAAGTAGGTAAGATACACATATTCCACAACAGCTGTATTTCCCTTCTCTATAAAACCTAGAATGTAGCTTTGAATTTGCTGGATGGGATAACTTTTTTCAGTCAAGAATAAAATATTAGGTTACAGAAGATAGTTCTATAAAAGTACCAGTTCACTGCTCAGTCAAAAAAATGCAAATCAAATCCCAGGAATCATTTAATACAATCCTCTATCCACTGTATTTTTTTATAAGAGAGCTGGATTTCCTTTTAAGAAAAAGACAGATGCTTTGTAACTGCAAACAGGGTTTGCTCATTTTCTACTCCCTTTCTGAAACCCTGATGCCATTAAGTCAGGAAAGGGCTGCAACTCATTCTGTCAACAAAGTAGGTGGATAAGCTTACTAGAGGAAGCTTACTTGTCCGCACAAAGCACAGGGAGTAATGTCCATACTTTACTCCTGGTGGAGACTGCCCTGTTACCATATCAACTTCACCCCATCACACCTGAGTTACACAAGCTTGAGATTTGCATAAAACTTTGCCCTGTCCAACCGATGCTCCCTCTGTGAACCTCTCTATGGGTATCCTTCTGCAGACCAGAAGGAAAGGCACAGAGATCTGTTGCAACCTGTCAACGATATACACAAATCACCACAAAACATAAAATAGAACAAAGGTGTTCCAGTGCCTCACACTGTACCTCATCACTTAAGTGTGTTTCATCTCCAAGGACTGAGTGATACAAACTGTAACCACATTTACACTTGAGAACCTTGGTGGTCTAGCAACAAACATAGTGACTTCCACATTGTATGCAGATATGTGACTGTTGTTTCAGATATGTTTCACAGTAGAGAATTCAGCTTTTACTTGCATAACTTCAAATCCCCAAAGGCGTATTTTACCTTTAGCTCCTGTTATGGCTAGGGAAAATTGTTCTGCTTCATGTTGTCTCTCTTTCCTTGGAACAGGATAATGTGGATCTGGGTGACCTGATGTTTTCACTCTGCTACCTTCCAACAGCTGGTAGATTAACTATTACAATAATAAAGGCAAGAAATCTAAAGGCAATGGATATCACAGGAGCATCAGGTACGAATTAATTTAATGCTCAATGTGGATTTCTGTCCTACTTCCCTCCTGAGTCACAGAAATCAGCACTGTCAATTCCCAGAATGATTTTTGAGAAGAGGGTTCTTATACTGCAAGCTCTTGAGTTACCTGAGTACCGGAGTTTCTGAGAAGTAAATAATATATTTTAGTTTGTTCTGTTGCAACCAACAGTTTAAAATAATCTGCTCTTAAAAAGACAGCAAGACTATTATTTCTAAAGCCACTGTGATTCAGAATAGCACGAGTTGGCCAAATTGCATTCATAACACTGGGAATTTGTTTGTACAGCAGCCTCGCTGTTATGGCTATGGCACAGAGGCAGACTGACCCTCTCTGACAGTCTCCAAGAGCCACTGAGCCAATTCTGCTGTCGTTGGCAAAACAGCGATCATCCCAGACTCCTTTCAGCAACGATGAAAACAGGAAACTAATGTAAATCAGAGTTCACAGATGACTTCTAAATACTAGCAGGGAGTTGTAGAGTCACCAGAAGGGAGCTACAAAGAAAAAGCTTTTTTTACTACATTCAGGAGTTTAAAAATAATTTTAATTATCTTGAGAAATACAAGCCAGTAATTGTTACACTCTGAATTATATTTAACCATACATCAGTAAATCCCACTGTGTAAAATATTGTCACCTTCTGCCTGTCCTACAAATCTGTGCAAGTGATTAGGCTGTTATAAATAGGCTGATACACAGACTGCTGTATAAAAGTCACGTCTAACAGGGTTCAGTGGATAGTTTAATACCCTTTGAGAAGTCGGTACACAACAAGAAGCTTCTTGATCCTAAATTGTTCATTATAAGCAGTCAACCAAGTAAAGCTTTCAAAGCTCCACTGCCTCCCAGGCATTCCATGGTAATAAAGAAGTTTAAATTCCAGTCAGGTCCAGGTGACTAATTCTGGAAAGTAGGTATGGGCATACAAGAAGGCTGCTCCCTTCACTTTCCATTTATGTTTGCTTAAAAACAAAAAAGCAACAGAAAACCAACATTGTTCTTATGATTCACACAGATCCCTACGTGAAGGTTTCTTTAATGTGTGAAGGAAGGCGACTAAAGAAAAGAAAAACTTCCACCAAGAGGAATACCCTTAATCCTGTTTACAATGAAGCCATAGTCTTTGACGTCCCTCCAGAAAACATTGACCAAATTAACTTGTCGATAGCTGTTATGGATTATGACCGGTGAGATACCTGTAGCTGTAAAATATCATCATCTATTGGCTTATAAAATCATGCACAGCAGATTTGCATCCAGAAACAAAGTTATAATTTTTTCCCAATAAATGGGAAATTAATGTCATGTCGACTTTGGTAGAAGACTAAAATTTCTTGCGTTGCCAGGCAGAATTTCCTTTCTAAATTTTTAAATACAGATTTGCACCCATAACTGACATAAGTAAGCTGTATATATGCTTACCAGAACTGTAATATCTGAACATATAATCAGACAGTCCACACACTGAAGTTCTGTCTGTGCACAATGACACTAACCCCTTAGACATGCGCCTCCACTTCTAAAATCGTGGCCTAGCGTTTACTTGTATCTGCAACTATTTACAGAACACAGGCAAAGAACTTTTTACATTCTTCATGCAAAAATAAGAAACAAATGCACCCAGACACACAGTGTATGCTATAATGGGGAAAATACTAAATTATTCTGATTAGTGGGAAATGCAAAGAGCAAACCTATGTAATTTATAGTTCATTACATTTTTCAGGCAAGAATTAACTCTAAAAATCTGTGATTAATGTTTCTAATGAAATATATAAGTGGTATGGTTCTAAAGGTAAAATTTTAAGAAAAAAATATTATGGAACATTTTCACAGTGTAGGTCACAATGAGGTCATTGGAGTGTGTCAAGTAGGCAACGATGCAGAAAGTCTAGGTCGCGACCACTGGAATGAGATGCTCTCATACCCTCGGAAACCCATTGCTCACTGGCATCCTCTTGCAGAGGTAAGACTTTTATTTCTTGCTTCCCCATTACTATAATTGTGAAAATCTTCCATATGACATTAGAAGTTGGGTGAAATTTTATGAACAAAACAAGATCCACATGCATGCACTGAATCCTAGAAAAGGGCCCGGAAACACCTATATTAAAAGTCAAACACAACGCCCAAGTAAAGTCTGCTCCTTTCAATTTTAGGGGGACAAAAGTAATTAATGTCTTTAATATATACATGGAAACACCAAACATTATACACTGGATTAAGGGTTTGGTTTTGTTTTTTAAGTAGGATCTTGGGTAACTTTCACTGGTAATTGATATAAAGAAATGGACCTTGTTTACAGAACAACCAAGACCTATTTTTTTTATATATAACAACCTAATCTGACTTCTTTTCTCGTAAGAATATATCATCCATGCCACTAGCACATTTCAAGGGATGCCTAACTGCACTGAAAAAAAAATGTTTAAGTGTCTCTGGAGATCTGAGGCATTGATAAGAAGCCACACAATCAGAAAAGCTTTTCAAGGTTCCTATGTTTTTTTGTTTTGTTTTGTTTTGTTTTTTGTCTTTAGGGCCCTATTCAGCAGAAATGTTATGCAGGTCTTCTGCGCTTGGATGGCTGCCGAAGAGGCTTCCTCACCGTCCTTTTAATCCCTCTGTCTAATCCTCTTCCCAATACAGGGAATGCTAATCCTCATTCATGAGACACAAAGGTTCATCAAAGATCTAACTAAATTGCTTCCTAAGAGTTACCATCATTTACTTACTTTTATTGTTGTTATCACTGGCTAAAGTCAGGCAGTAATCCCAGTCAAAAGACACTAATATGTTTATGAACAGCCACAATGTTGCCCCCAAGGCTGAAAGACAGGAAAGACCATCGCATTCATATCAAGCCACAGACAATGCCGTAAGCACCTAATATAGAGAGGCAGGCAGTTCACAGCCTCTCTGTGTATGCCTTATGCATCAGAGTGCAGCCACTTTACCAGAATGCAGCTGAGGGCTTTACCTACTTGGTTGTAAGCACTAACCCTAGGCAGTTCCATAAATAATTGCCAGGCAATAGGAAGATGCTATAAAATGGCAAAAATACCACAGTCTTGCCCTGTCTCCATAAGCAATTACATTTATTGGTGCCTGGGGACCACGGCAGCAGTTTTGGCAGGGAGACCTTTGAGTTCTCCCAGGCTCTGTTGCAGTGGGAATGCACCGTGCCTTTTCCAAGCGAGGGTGCTGCCAACATGCAAGTATGCTGTGAAAGAAGATTGAGCAAAGTGGGGGAGCACTGCCTATATCTTTGTGTCCTCAATGGCAAGCTAGTTACCAGCTGAAGTGCCACACTTGCGATGCCTACCTGAGCATTGGGGGAGCTGGGTTTAGAAAACACATCACCAAGCTCTCAGCTGTAGCCAAGCACTGATAAGAATGGCTTGACAAAGCACGTGAGGAGTAGTGTAATGGTTACTGTTTCCCAGAATATGAGAAGTGTCTCTTAGAAGAAGCTGTCTGCATCCTTATATTCAACCTGTCTTCCCTCTTTGATAAATTTTATTGCAGCCAGAGCCCACAATTAGGTTTTGACAGCTCTTCCATTTTTACAGGCATCCTGTTCTTTTCATACATGCCTGGCTAACTTCTTTAGATTTCATTATTGTGGATTGCTTTTCACATCACTGAGCTAAACAGAGACATATTTTTTTCCTTCCCAGGAATCAAGTGGGGGAGGGTGTCCAGCGCATCCAGGCTGTGCAGAGAAATATATACACAGCATATCATTTTGGTTCCTGAATCAGGATTAGACTCAGCGAGAGCTTCTGGAACCTCTGTGGCCACAGCCATAGGACCCTGAATATTTGCTGAATAGGACCCTCAGTCTTCTACTGTGTGAAGAGCTATTGGTTTCAAGTAGCGTAATGTTATCCACTTGTAGCATTAATTCTCCAGCTGACACTATTGCTACTGATAGATTATTTGTATGGTCGAAAGGATTACCCAAATTCAAGTCATAATTTCTGTTCATTAAAATAACCCAGGTTTTACACGAAATGTGATAGCAATGGAAACCAACAAATATGGGAAGCAGCAACAAATATGGTTCTTGTATTTGCAAAAAAAGCTGCAGTATTGTGAATGGATAGCTTTCTAAATCTTTTTTTTTCAAGAATGATTGTCATCAGACATTTATTTTTTGATGACAAGTTGTGTCCTCAGTCTCAGTTGGTGCCTCCTTTCACCTTACACAAAAACAAATGAATATGGTTCTTTGCAGAAATCCTTCAAATCTGAAAAACTGGGAAAAAAAAGTTCTATTGGGTGAGAACGAGATACATATCGTATTTGTAATGACAGTATGTTCTTTTAGAAAGAAGATAACCATCTGTATAACATGGAGTCTGTTAGTCCTCAACCTTTGTAGATGATTTTCCAGTCAATGTTTCCCGGTTGTGTCCATGACACTGCAGAAGTTGGAAGCATATCACAGGCGGCTGTGCTCTATCGTACACGCAAGCTCACACATGTGCGTGCATGTGCACACACACATCCCCAATGTAATTTTAAAATGCTGTTCCAAATATATAGTGCCTGTGAAGTCTTTCTTTGCTATTTGTAGTAGAATTAACAAGGCTATCTTACATGATGGTATATTCTGAATGCTGACGAATTCTGACCATTAAAAAAAAATAAAATTAAAGCACTGAACTCTTTCAAATGATGAAATCTATACCCCAGAACAAGGGCCCCTGGGATAAATTTTTGCCACTTACTTAGCCATGCATGGAGTTTTTTCTTCCTTCAAACTTTTCTAGTGAGAATTTGATTCAAGTTTTTACATGGGGATTTTTATTTTAAAAATGCATATGCGAAATATAGGTATTTTATACAATCTAGTTGCCTGCTACATACTTACAGATAGGGAGCCCTTGTCCTTATATATAGTTCAGATAAGTTTATGTGCATACACATTGCTTCCTATCTTCTATGTGTTGAATGTTCACCAAGCATTTTGGGTTTGCAATTTTGCTGACACAAATACGCATGCACAGATTGAAGAAAATATTTGAAATTTTGATCCAAAATCTGAAAAATTAGTTTTATAACATATCAATTGAGGATCTTCCAGAAAATCAGAATTGCTAATGGGTAAAGCACAGCTTGGCACTTGCAGGAAATCTTGTATCTGTTGTAAATGTGTGTGCAGCTATAAAGCAGAAGTCCTGTAAGTACTGGTTTTCAAAAATTTCATGCCACGCTATGGAGAATACAGCTAGCACATATAAGGATCCCCCTGGCAAACTAAAGAACTCTTCAAAACCTGCCCAAGCAAAATTTCAGATGGATAACTGGGCATTTCCATAAAAATGAAAAATACAGGTATAAAGTTGACCTGGCAAAACTATTTCACTACACTTTCAACTGAAGCTTTATATCAGCAGGCTGGTGATACAATGCAATGTTCATATCTGTTCATGCATGATCCTCAGCAGGGACTACCAGAACAGAAAGCAAACCTGTAGTATAAAAGACCCAGTGCTCAAACTGTTCCTACCAGTCAATGCACACTTCAGCTTTCTATGCCAGCAGATCCATAAAACAGCAAAGCAGGGCATATGAGAAACTTGTTACACAGAGGTCCAATTTAACTGCCAGTAGGGAAACTGCTGGTTCAATCCAAAGTGAGACAACAGCAAAGGGCAACACAAAAGAATGACAAATAAGAGGTTATTTTAGTCCACCTTGAGGGGTTAGTTTTTGGTTTTTTGGTTGTTTTTGTTATTTGGGGTTTTTTTGGTTTGGTTTGGTTTCATTTGTGTGTTTTTAAACACCAAACATGATATGTAGCTATATTAACATGAGCACCCAAAGTCAGAAGTACAAGAGACATATTTACATGTTTATTGCTTGGCAACATTAGAGCACTGAGGGGGCCTATTTGCCACTGAAAAAAAAAACAAAAAACCAAACCAAACCTGCAAACTCTCTTTTAGCTTAAAAGTAACAAACAATAAATGGGAAGGGAGAAAAAGGACTGGAAATTCAGTTGAAAAATCTGTTTGTCCCAATTAGAAATCTGTCTGAAATTATTGTTAATGCATTTCGGTTGAACAGAAAGAAGTGAAAAAACATAACTAGGTGACTCAATCTGAAGTGTCGTCAATTAAATGCTTTTTTCCCTTTAGAACAGTGCATTGTCAAATGATTACATCTCAGTATCAAGAAAACAATGACTTTCTTATCTACAAGGAAAAAAGCATGTAGAGAAAGTAATCCGCAACACTGTAGAATTTAATAGAAGCCCTCTGCGCTGCGAAAAATGGCAGCAGGACTTGTAACAGTGTCACCTTGAATCTTGCTGTAATTAGTGCAAGGCCTTGCTTGCAACTATAATTCTTTTCTGAAGTGACCGCCTTGCAGTATGTGAACCAAGCTGTGCAAGGTGTGAATTATCCTGTAAGGGCACTGCACATTCAGGGCTGAGTAGTTTCAAGAGCTGGGTTTACAGTTAATTTCTAATACAGTGGGTTGGGCAAGGAACTACAGCTGGAAGTTCTCCAGAGTGCTGCAGTTCTCTGAAAGGACCTCCATCTCCTTGAAGGTCCGTAAAGTGCACTAATCCAGATGGCCGTGATGGATACTATTCAGGAAAGGTATCATCAGGACATACCTCAACTGCTGACCGAACACAGCACACGTGGCACAGAGGGGAAGATGACATGAGGACCTGTAAGCATCTGGTCTGTTTGTTTGTTTGTTTGTTTTGTCCGGGTTTTTTAGTTCCTCCTTCTGTTGCTCAAATGTAGACATCGTAAAACTGGAATGTTTTACTCAGTTGCATGCTGGCCAGCTGTCATTTTTAATATCCATTGCAAAGGTGTGTGAAGAGAGGTGTGTTGTTTTGGTATACTTTTGTTTTTAATAACACATGAACTTTGTACTATGCTTTATTATTTCTTGTTCAATAAATAGTCCTGGTACCTCTATGTTTCATGTCTAATTTTGGAGAGTAGAGCCATACCTGTATCAAGGCTCTCTCAATTAGGTGGGCATTTTGTTCGTTTAGTAGAAATAATGCATGATTCCTTTTGCAGTGATGGTTTGAGGGACAAAAAATTTCTTAATTTTATAATATGTATTACAATCTTCTAAACACAGGTAAAAATGTACTGTGATTTATTTATATAAATCTAGTCTGAACAAATAAGTTTTGATCTTAATAAAAACTCTGTAAGAAATTGTGCAATTGTAGTTTATTACTATTTTGTATTTAAAATGTTAAAGTTCAATTCATTACTCAGAAAGACAGCAAACACTTAAGAATTGTTTTAACTCTTCTCCATAGATGTTGTGTTTTGATAAAATAAATGAAACCAGAGACAAAGCTGTTAATATGACAGTTATTTTACAGCACTCAAACATAATTTGCGAGTTTGGATACTAAAACCTCCTCTTGTTTCATCCTATGGCCACAATCATCATTACAGAAAGATTTTTAGAGATATCAAACATGAATCTCATATATACTTAATGTTAAGAAGAAAATCAAGAAGCTACTTGCTTCAATCAAGAAGTTTCTACCAAGTGACAGTGTGTTAAATTACCAAAATTAGTATTTGGCATGGCAGGCTAGCAAAATCAGGAATCCTTCTGTCAACACCTGACATGTAGCTCAGGGAAATTCCCAAGGGTCCCCTGGCAGAGCCCA